AGGTGCCCAGTTGTTGTTTAGACCATTGTTAAATAAGTATGAGAAAGAGACACTAGAAAATCAGAATTTATATCTTGTTGGTGCCTCCACCATTAGACTGTTACTTGGGGCAGAAGCAGTGGGATTGGTCAAAGAGTGCAATGATAACACCATGAGAGCCTTCACATACGGAACCCGACAGAACTTCAAAGGTTTTGATGGTAAGCACAACTTCTTGTTTCTATCAGAATCCATTTATCAAAAAGATGTTTTTGGAAAATAGATCAGGGGTCATAGCCTTTATAAGTCAAGGGCCAAAATAGAAAATATTTTAGGTTTTGCAGACTGTATGCTCTCTGCTGCAGTTACTCAGTACTGCCATCGTAGAGCAAAAAGGCAGCTTTCGACCCATAACATGGGTGAAACCGTGGTCCAATAACACTGTGTTTAGGAAACCTTGTGGTAGGCCACATTTGGCCCACAGACTATACTTTGCCACCTCTGGAATAGATGAATACAAATTAGAAGGATGCACGTAACTTGTCTTCTAATAACATAAGGAACATTCACCAGCTATCATTTCTTTCTTGATAGCAAGAAATCTTATGATAGGAAACAAAGTAGTAGTTCAGTATCCCAGAAACCTCATTTCTGGAATTTTCTGACTCTTGCTGATTGTGGTTGGGTAATTGGTTCTGTAATGGCCCCAAAGCAGGTTCCAATAGAGGATTGGGAAAGCCCGGGTAGGTATGATACCAGCATGCAAGTTTGGCTTTGGAATGAAACTGGTCCCTTCCTGGGCTTTCAGAGTTAGAGATGTGATTAGATTTCTTCAGACTCACCGTGGGTTTTTATACCTTAGTGAATAAATGATCAAGGTGAACTTTACCTCATTTAAGAAGGTTTACCTGTCAAAAAGTGACATTTTCTTATCAGATTTTCTTTTCTCTCATTTATGAAAAGGATGTCTGACTCCAGAAGGGAATGAAATAGGCTTGAGAGATTGAAGGAGGAGAATTTGCCTTGTAGGCAAACATCTTCAGTTCTATCCCTGGTTAAAAATACTGTTTCTTTAGAATTTAATTCTGTTCATTGGTACTAAATGATATCAAGTATGTGTTGTTTGAATGTTTCTGCCATATTATATAGTAACTATTAAAATGATTTAGGAATTACATTATGTGGAGTCATAATAGAAGATTTTTATTCTTATAAAATATCTGAGCTTTATATTCTATTTAATTTACAAGTTTTATAGTTTGATTATCCCTCATATTTATTGTTTATTATTTATATCATTTCTATCATCTCTGATAATTAGAATACTGTTACTTAATTTTATTATTACTGAGAAAATAACTGGAAATTTTTGTTTTATTTTAGATAACAATGATGATTTCCTCACAATGGCAGAATGTCAATTCATTATCAAACATGAACTTGAAAATCTTAGAGCTAAAGATGAAAAAATGATCCCCGGTTACCCCCAGGCAAAATTGTATCCAGGAAAATCATTATGTAAGTCATTCTATCAGCTAGTTTTGTGAATATACATTCTAATGAAATTGTTTTCTTTTTAATAGACATAATTAGCAAATTACAGAGCTTTTTCTCTTACCGAAAAACAGAGCTTTACAGTAACACATTTTCATGAACGTGTCTTTTGTCCTTTGAGCCTCATTATATTGCACCTTTAAATCAATATATTCTATACAGTTTGCTACTGCTTAATTATCAAGGTCTCACAGCATTCAGTTAGCTTAAAATTCAGCATGAACACACATACACACACATTTTACTCTGTTAAAATTAGCAAACTTTATGCCCTAACATTGTACAATATAATGAAAATCCGTGGAGGACTATAAAAGTGGAGATACTGTCTTTTCCTGGAGCTCTTTCTATCTCCTCTGATTTCACTGAGTATGAGCACACGCGTACAAAATGACATAATACCTGAATGCACATTAGCAGTTTGCAACTGTTTAGTTTCATGTAATTTCATTTTAATGAGAATACTAGTTTGCAGAATGAAAGAGTTTTACCTTGATGCTTAATTCCCACTTTGCTTCAAACCCAGGTAGTGACAAGGCTTCAGACCATTTTTGCTGCCTAAAATATACTTTGAACATACAAGCTTCTGTGTCCCCTCATACTACCTTTCCATCTTCAGCTAAGAGGACAGATCCCCCCAAACCAGTCCATATTCACCTTTTCCCAGTTATTACCAAATACAATTTAGAGCTTCTTTACTCAGGCTAAGATCCTAAGATTACCCATTTTGTTTGGTTGGTGTATTTCTTAAGTCTCTTTTAAAATAGAATAGTTTCTCTTTTGCATTTTTCTCTCCATGACTTTGACTTGCTGAAGCGACTGGGCCATTTGTCTTATAGATTGTTGCACTTTATGGATTTTCTGATTATTTCCTTGTTCCTCTATCCTCTGTATTTCTGGTAAACTGAAAGTTTTGGGCAAGAATTCTTCATAGCTGATGCTTCATCTTCCCTTGTCTTCCTCATTTCCTTAGACAGAACGCCTTCTAAGACTTTCTTTTCTTTGCCTCTCTTAATAAACTTTCCTAACTTCCTTTCCTGTGGTGGGGATTTTGCTTTACTTTGATAGAACTTTTACAAATCTGAATTTTTCTTATACTTTGTTTCTTCTTGAATTTTGAAGTATTTTGTTAGGTTAAATTGTTTATTTTCACTTTTTTTTTTTGTTTTTTTTTGAGACAGACTCTCCCTTGTCACCCTCGGTAGAGTGCCCTGATACAGCTCACAGCAACCTCAAACTCTTAGGCTCAAGTGATTCTCTTGCCTCAGCCTCCCTAGTAGCTGAGAGTACGGGCACCCACCACAATGCCTGGTTATTTTTAGAGATGGTGTTTTGTGTTTGCTCAGGCTGATCTTGAACCCATTAGTTCAGGCAATCCACCTGCCTCAGCCTTCTAGAGGGCTGGGAACAGGCATGAGTCACTGCACCCAACTCATGAAGTAAAAAAGGTTTTCACTTTTTTATAGAAAACTTTTTTTTTTTTTAAAATACAAGAAGATGTAGCATTTATTCTAGACTATTCTGGACTGTATCAGGATGCTGAGGAAAACAGGGTTTACAGTCTATGTGGTGGACATATCAATTATTCTCTTCAATTTGCATAACATCTGGCAGAAAAATACTTCCCCCAAGCATTTTGCAATTTTCACATTTATTTTGTGTTAATTTTTTAGTTGAAAAAAATTATATATGACAGAAATTCAAACAGTACAAAAACTTAGACAATGAAATGTTGTCTTCTTCCTACCCAGTACTCCCTTAGGCCCAAGAGTTTGAGGTTGCTGTGAGCTGTGCTGCTACGGCACTCTACTAAGGGTGGCGTAATAAGACTGTCTCAAAATAAATAAATAAATAAATAAAAATACATTTTGATCATCATTCTAGATTAGGTCTAACTTTTCTAGGCCATCTAGTATTCTATTGTATGGATGTCATCATATTGATGAACATCTAATTGTTTTCTTCCAGTTTTTTCATTTTAAACAAAGTAAAAAAAAAATCCCAGAAGTGAAATTGTTAGATGAAAGGTATATGCCTCTTTCAGGGGTAGATATTGCCATATTGCCTTCTATAGTCATGCCTTCGATTAAGAAAGGGAATAATTATATTTGAACATTCAGCATGATGTTGGCTTTTGATTTTAGGTGATTTTTATCATGTTTAGAAAGTATCCTTTTCTTCTACTTTATTAAGAATTTTTGTGTATCCATAAATTTTATCAAATACTTTTCTAGCATCTATGAAGACAATTATATTTTTCATCTCTGACATTATTATTATAGTAAGTGGTATTAACATACTTTCTAATATTAAATTATTCTTGCATTTCCATGATAAACCCTACTTACTTGCGGTATATTATTTAAATTTCCTGCTGAATTTGATTTCTTACTATTTTATTTTTGCATCAATATTCCTGTGACATGAGTACTTAGATTTTTAAAAATTATATTCCTGACTCGCTCTGTCCCATGCATTGTTAATTTTATTGTTTAGTTCTTATACCCCTTGTGGCTGTTTTGTTTTCCTGATCCATCATAGCCCTAGAGATTCCTAACAACTACAGGAATCTCCTCATGTTCCTACCAATTTGCTTCTTGTATTTTCTTTTGCTTTTGTTTTATGAATTTGGTGCCTATCCTTTGGCTACATACAGATTTTGATAGATTTTCATTGTAGCTTGTACCTTTTATCATTATAAAGTATTATTCTTCATCTTGCTTAATGTTTTGTTATTAAGGTTGTTTGAATTCAGCCTTGTCTTATGTCTCTTGCTTTATTTCAGTTTGCATGTGCTAGGATGTTTTTGCCCATCATTATAAGTAAACTTGTACCTCTGTAAGCTGAACACCTAAGGGACTGTAATAGACTGGTCAACATATAGAGGCGGTCAGCATGAGGAGGATTGCTTGAGCCCAGGAGTTTGAGGTTATAGTAAGCTATAAAGACACCACTCCACTCTAGCTGGGTGACAGAGCAAGACTCTGTCTCAAGAACAGAAGAACAAAAGCAAGCTCTAAATGAAGTTTAAGATTTCTTTCTTTCTATTTTTTTCCTCTATTACTGTATGTAAATTAAGGTCTTTGTTAGAATTACTGTATGAAATCATCTGGCTTCAATGTTTGTGGATTAAGTTTTTGAACAGTTTTCTTTTAAATCATGAATGGAAATTAGTTTGTTTAGACTTTCTGTCAATACTGGGGTCAGTTTGGGTGTATTTTCTAGAAAAGTTTTTATTTTATCTAGATTTTCTTTTCTTAGTCAAGTTTCATGAATTGATTTGTGCAGATTTCTCTAAGAATCTTTTAAACTCCTGTTTTAATGGTATTTCCCCCTTGTCCAGTCTTATTTTGTTTGTGATTTTTCTGTTTTTTCTTATTTAAAATTTTTTTCTCCTTAACATACTCATATTGAGGAGATTCCTGTATCCACCATTAGGAGAGCCTGTGTGATGTGGACTCTTTCTTTAGTAGGACTCTGAATCATGTTTTCCTTCTCTTCCTTCTCCATAGGCTGTTAACTTCCAAGGACCATTACTTTCCCCCGGCACTTTCCTCTGTGTTCCCAAGTCAGCCACCTCTTGCTCTGTGAATTTTCTAAGCTCCTTAGTCCCTCCTGTTGTCAGGGCTCTGACCCATCGGGTCTCAGTCCTGTTCTGGGAACTTCCCACTCAGCGTGGGGCTGCCTCCTGAAGGAGGGCGGTGAGTCCTCGTTGGTCTTATCTGGGTTCCTACACCTTGGATCCCTCTGCCCTCCCTGTTCTTCTGTGTAACACCTTTTGGGCTTTCTCTACCATTCTGGACTTTTGCCCAGCTCTCTTCTGGTTCTCGGGTCTTTTTTGTGTGACTTACATGTTGTAGTCTCCCGTCTCTGAGTCATGCAGTGGGCATTCTCTCCTTGTTGATTTGTGTGGCTTTTAGGAGCTATCAGGAAACTTGGATGCAGGGATGCCTGCTTACCTGGAGGTACCATGATCATGCAGGTGGTTTTCCTAGGGCAAGGCTTATCCATTGCACTCTGGTTGTGCTGACCCCTGTGATCTCCCCAAATGTGGAAAACTCGGCTACATAATTTGCGGTAGTGGGGGACTGTGTTCACGCTTTCCCCTATTAAAAACAATTTAAAAATTAAGAAGAAAAAGTTAAAAACATGAATGGAGGACTCGTTATTCTTGTTGGTCTACATTTCCACCTATGAGGAAACTTGAATGCAGGGACTAGCTGTTCTTGTTTGATTATATTTCCAGTTATCTGCATGAGTCTTGCTATCAGTTACTTTGTATCAGTTCTTTTCATTGAACACGTTCTTTCAGTGTAAGGATTAGAGATTGCTGTGTTTGGGGGAAAATTTTCTTCCTTTGTCTTTGAGAAGTTATCTGGTTGTATTTGCTCTGTTCTTGTCTTAAACAAAGGGCAGTTACATACAGTAGAACCTCTGTAAGCTGATCACCTAAGGGACTATAATAAACTGGTCAACATACAGAGGCGGTCAGCATGAGGAACTAGGCCTACTGTGCTGATTGTACGTGTGGTGCATGTCCAGTCTATGAAAAGCCAGTCAACTTAAGGAGGTGGTCAGTGTAGGGAGCTGGCCACCTATGAAGGTTCTGCTGTATATGTGGCTCTTACATAGTCTCTGTAATATTTTTAAGTCTTCATTCTTACATAATTTTCTTAGGCTTATCTACCTGCCCTGTGTTTTCATTCTTTTTTGTAGTTTTTATCCTGACTTTGATATTGCTTTTTTGAGTTCTCTCCAGCTCTTAAACCTCTCCTTTGAGTTTTAATTTCAGAGAAGTGATGCTTCCTTGAATTTCTTTAACTTCATGAAGAATTTCATAGTTTTTTCTTGCTTGATGCTGTAATTTTCTACTGCTTCTTCTCTACCTTTTGTTTATGGTTTTTCTTTTTTTCCTTGTATTTTTTGCATAGCTCTATACCAGTTTCTTTGTAGTTGTTAGTTATTTTTTAGTGAACTCATGATTTTCCCAGATTGTTTTTGGAAAAAAAGGGGTACTGGAGATGTCTGACAGGGAACTGTGACAGTGAAAAGCTTAGGTTTTGTCTGGCAGTGCAGTTTCCCAAGTCTGTGGAGCCCTGTTTTTATAGGGATTTTGTTGCTTTGGGTGTCTAGTCCTGTCTCTGGCCATCCAAGACAGAGCTAGCTACCCTCTATCTTCCAGCAGGCAACTCTGTTCCAACATGGCAGACCAGCCCTTTCCCCCTCTATCCTGGCCTGTGTTGTTGGCTGTGGTGCCAGGTAGGGAGCAGACATCCCTCAGGGGTTTGCAAAGCATCCTCTTTTGCCTGCATCTGGGCAAAGGGACCGTTTCACACCCTTTACCGTGTTGGAGAACCCTACCCTCTGTCTACTTGGCCTGGATTTATAGAAGCATGAATGCTTTCCGTTTACCCTGGGCTTATTGTCAAGACCTCTTCTTAGTTTGTGGTTTTTGTTTTTAGTTTGTTTTTTCTTGCTTTCTTATTTCCTTTGCTTTTAATTTGGTATCATGAACAAGAACAGGGCAGAGATAGCTTTCTGCCACTATTCATAACCGGGAGTTCCATATTCTGTATTTGAGTGATTGTTTGATGCCATTCTTCAAAAATTTTAAATCTTTCTTAATCTCTTAGTGGGAAGGTATGTTCTCAGATGCACCTGGGTCTTGCCTCAAATAAAATACAAAGCAGACTGAGGTGCTGTCCTGGTTGCTAGTGAAAGTATTCCATTTCTTCCTGTTCATCTTCACTGATCAGCTCATCATGTGGAAATCACAGCTTCCACCTGTGAGTTTTTGTACAGATGTGGCTGGGACAGAGAAAAGAGTAAGTGTGCTCTTTCAGCAGATGGGACAATGGAGCAGCAGTTTTCCAGATGCTCCCACTTGCTTCAAAGAGAACAACTTATAGCTGAATGAAAGCCTTGAAGGAAACATGTAAATTGATTTCTCAGACTATATAGGAAGCCAGTCTGTGGTCCTGAAGCAATCAGAGAAATGACTGTCTTGCTTGCAGGATGAGGCTTTTGTAAGTAAGTATTCTTTCTTTATTTTATGTATTTTTGTTTATTTTTTTAAGACTGGTCAAGTGCAGTAGTGAGAAGAGGGGAAAGAAGAGAATGAGGAGTTCAATCTGTAACTGACTATGAACAATCGAGATAACTCACTACCTTCTGACCAGCCCACAGTGCAAATTTTAGAATTAATAAAACTTAGGGTAACTTAAATCCTAGCTTTTCATTAGGTTAATCCACGGGAGTAAATGGAAAGGCTCATTTCCCCCTTCACATATTGTGGGAGCTATTCCACGGGCAGCATCTCTGAGGATGATTGGGAGGCAAGATGTGCTGGACGTGATGGCCCTCAAGACCGTGAAAGGTGCCAGCCTTTCATGAGAAACACACTCCACATCTTATGTTCAATTTGATTTTCATTACACACATAATAATTATAAATTTGCTTGCTGTTTGCTGTAATGTTGTGTTTTGATTTGGAAAGCTTTCATTAAGTAGATAGCAAGTTGTGTCATTATAAACAAGATTCAAGACAGTTAGATGGCGCTGTGAGATGTGTATGTTAGAGCTGTTCCCTCGTTCCATCAAATGGCAAGCAACGTGGAGAACTAGAAATTGGCAGCATGTGTGTCTTAGTCGTCGAGCATTCCTCTTGGCAGTCGTTCATTTCTTGTGTCCTTATGAGAGAGGATCTCTGCATGCCCTCCAACTCTGCCTTTTCCTATTGCTTCTTAATAATCTATCATCATGCATATAACCTAATGAAAGACTTTCTTTAGAAAGAAGAGTTAAGGGATCTAAGAATTGCTTACATATTAACTGTATCCTAAAGGTTATCACTTAGTTTAGGTTAAAGCTCCGTCTCAAAATGTCTACCAGATGGTTATCCTGTTTTGATTTATGGCACCTGACATATTATGCCTTTAATGTTATATAGATATTCTTTATACAGCCTTATGGTTGTAAAAGGGTATACATGGTATCCTCAAAATATCAGTAACTAGGATAAAAGATATTCTTTTAAATATCTTTGGTATAGAAGAGTGCATAAATTAGAGTGGTTAGATACAATCTGGCCTCTAAAATCGTAAGCCAGCCTTATATGAATCATGGAGTAGATTTCAGGTAAATATCATGTAGCAGCAATATGTGTAAGAAGACCCAGATATTGATATATACAGTGTATACTGTATGTGTGTGTATACATATTGCTGGGCCCTGCAGCATACACACATGCACACTATGCTTTGATGCATATTTGGAGTTTACTGAAAACAGTACAGGAATGCAGTAACATGAAATGTGTTTGGAAAACAAGTATCCCTGAGAGCATTTCTTTTCATTAAATTTAGAGTGATCTGTTTAGTTTGAGTGCCAGAGTCAGTGAGCTGGGCACAGTAGCAGCTGTAGGGAGTGAGGGGGCCATTGCCATCATGCAAAGGCTACCTGCCTGCACTTCCTGTGGCCCCCCCTTGTGCTCCCTGTGGCAGCTCGTGTGCTTACTATCCCTCCACTGGATTGGAGGCAGCAGGGCCTGCTTCTCCCTGCAGCACAGACACTGTAAGGAGCCATGAGCAGAGAGATTTTGTTTTTACTTTTAAAGCAGACATATCACATAACCAAAGATTGGGGCAGTACTATGCTAGTATCGTTATTGCATTATCTAATTCAGAGGGTCCTACTATACACCAGGCTACTGATAGTCTCTCTTAATTAGATTTTGATGTGTTTGGCTAATTGTTCAAGGAATATAATACTCATAACCCCAGGATTTGACAAGAGCTCCTACCGCACTCTTGCAGGAAGGAATCCGGTTTAAATAGGCCCACAGGGCATCATGTTTTCCTTTGAAGGTAAGACTCCTTCCTAGTAATTATGTTCTTAGTTAACATAAGAAGGTTGAAGGATTAAAAGGAAAAAAATAAAAGCAAAACCTCTATTTTTAGAAGCTGAAACCAGAACTGGGCTTTTGGCGTTGATGGTGAGGAGAAGCCCAGTAATTTAGGACCTGCAGCTTTCTATTCTCTCTGAGTCTTCAGTTCACAGCCCTATTTTTAGAAGTATACAAGCTGGTTTTTATGTCTGCTTGGAATATCTTCTATGGTAGAATGGAATAATCTTTTAAAAAAGAACTTAGAAATAGTAAAATAGTAATTTAGAGGCTGTAAGTCAGTTCAAAGTTAAAAAACTTGACATAGTAATTGAAAAGGGTAGTAATAGAATAAATCAGCTGTGGCCTAACCCCCCGAAATAAAGGATAAGAGTCAGAATAGTTGTGTATTATTGAATTTAAGTCACGTTAACTCAAGAAAAATCCAATGAAACACTTTAGAATAAAAAAAAATGTATTTGACAGCACCAGAGGCTGATGTAACTAAATCATATGTCTTTTTACCCTAGTTACTGATATTGTGAGGATACCACCCTTTTTCAGTCATTGAGGAGGATTTCATCATACTCCTAGCTTTGAAAACCTTTCTTCTTCTATGTAACTTATGAAAATATAATTATAAGAATAACTGCATGTTAAGAATCTGTCTTTCAGATCTAGATTTTTTCCTATATTAATATCAGGTATGTCCTCTTTTTTTTCCCCTCATTTTTAAGAAGTTAGGTTTACTTTTAAATTACTCTGAAGATTTTATGATAAGGACTGGTCCTGAGATACATTGTCTCAATCTAGAATTTCTGTGCCAAAAATTTATGTTTCTCTTCCATTGCAGACATTTATTTGCTGGTCCTCACTGAGGGATTGTATGCCTGCTATTCCCATTACCTATTTTTGGTGACAGGTAGATAGGAGATAAGGGGGGTATCCTCTGAGGAGTTGAGCTGATAAACCTTAAAGAACTCAAAACCTATCAATGGATGAAAACAGCAAAGGATCCTTTCTTTGTGCGCATTTCATCTTAGACGCATATTTTCAGTAAGAGACTGTACGAGGAACTCCTGTGGAAAATACTCTGTCTCCCCAAATAAGGTACGAGTTGATTTGAGTTCTCCATTTCTACTGAACACACTTCCTCTTAAAGACCTAAAAGCACCTTTTCCCCACCATTGAGTCATTCTAAGTAATTACTACTGATGAGAGAATTTCCCATTTCCATTTAATATTGCCAGGAGATACTGTCTTTGGTAACATTAGTTTGTCTTTTCCAGATAAGTGCACAAATATTCAAACCATGCTTAGTTAAATGATGGTTGAAAGTAGAAAGTCTTAATTTGAGTTTGCTGTTTGCTGTTTGTAAATGTCAGCTTTTGTTATCAGATTAGAAGAGATGAAAATGATTGAAGATTGCTCATTATAAACAACAAGGAGAAGGACCGAACATTTTCTTACCTTTACCGTAGTGGGAGGACAGACTGAGAAAATTTGTCTAGAGACAATTTTGTAATACGTGTTCAAATTTAAAATATATATGCCTTGGACCCAGTAAATCTCCTTCTAAGTATATGGAAATGATAGACAAGTGAGAAAAGGTGTTTGTATAAGAATTTTTAGCATTATTTAGAATAGCAGAAAGAAATAAACATACGAATTTCTAATTTCAATAGATCAAAATGATTTTTTGATGTATGGGTGAATTGTATAATGGTGAAGTCAGGGCTTGTAGTGTACCTGTCGCTCAAACAGTATACACTGTCCCCAGTAGGTAATTTTTGATCCTTCACCTCCACTTCTACTCTCTAAACTTCTGAGTCTTTAGTGTTCATTATAGAACTCTGTATGATCATGTGTACCTATTGCTCAGCTCCAACTTATGAGTACATGTGCAATTTGTTTTTCTGTTCTGAGCTTCCCTTGGGATAATGGCTTCTAGTTCCATCCAAGTTGCTGTGAAAAACATTATTTGATTCCTTTTAATGGCTGAATAGTACTCCATAGAGAGAGAGAGAGAGAGTGTGTGTGTGTGTGTGTATGTGTGTGCATGTTTATACACCATGTTTTCTTTATCCATTCATCAGTTGGTGGGCACTTGGTTGATTTCATATCTTCGCTTTTGTGAATTGTGCTGTGCCAACATGAGCGCATATGTCTTTTTTTAATATAGTGATGATTCTTCCTTTGGGTATAGTGGGATTGCTGAATTGAATGGCAGGTCTACTTTTAGTTCTTTGAGGAATCTCCATAGTGTTTTTCATAGAGGTCCTACTAATTTACATTCCCATCAGCAGTAAGCATTCTCTTTTTACTGCATCTGCCCTAGCATCTATTATTTTTTAACTTTAAAGTAATGGCTGTTCTTCTAGGTGAAAGATTGTATCTCATTGTGGTTTTAACTTGCACTTCCTGATGATTAGTGATGTGGAACATTTTTCATATGTCTGTTGGCCATTTATATATCTTCTTTTGAAAAAAAATGTTTATTTCTGTAGGCTACTTTTTAATGGGGCTATTTGTTTTTTCCTTGCCAATTTATTTGAGTCCCTTGTGAATTCTGGAGGTGTAGTTTGCAGATATAGTCTCCCATTCTGTAGGTTGTCTATTTACTCTATTGGTTATTTTTTTGCTGTGCAGAAACTTTTTAGCTTATTGAGTTCCATTTATTTATTTTTGGTTTTGTTGTATTTGCTTTTGGGGTCTTAGTCATACATTCTTTGCCTAGACCAATGTCTGGAAGAGTTTTTATGAAGTTTTTGCCTAGAACTTTTATGGTGTCACATCTTACATTTAAGTCTTTAATCCATTTGAGTTAATTTTTGAGTATGGTAAGAGGTGGGATCCAGTTTCATTCTTCTGCATGTGGCTTTCCAATTGGGAAACAAATATTTTTTGATAGAGGATTAGTTAAATTATAGTATTTCATGCAAGGGAATATTATGACACTGTTAAAAGGACATTCATGCTGTAGTATTTGTATTGGCATTGAAAATATTCATTATATGCTCGTACATGAGAAAACATTATAGAACAATGTGGTTTGTGTAAAATGGTTTTGTTCTTATTTTTGAAGTATGCATTTATGGATGTGTATTTTGAAGTCTGGTTATACACTACATTGCTTTTACAGTGGTTATTTTTGAGAGAAGGGAAAAAATAACAGGAGTTTCTCATATTCTAATTTGTATACTTCTGTATGGCTTAAAATTTTTTATCAACTTGTATTGATCTCATTCTAAAAGAAAATAGCAAAGATATTTACATGCTAGAAAACAAAAGAATATACATGCTTAGAATAAGCAGTATGACCTTGACCTTTGTGTAGTACTCCTTTGTGGACTGTCCTCGTAGTATTTGCAGAAGTGTATCGTGAGTGTCTCCAATCCATTTTATGTAGTCTGGCACATTTTCCCTGTGCAGTGAGAAGATTGCTCACGTCTGGCATTGTGGTTCAGGTGTTTCCACTGCATGATAATGAAGCTCTGAAGAAGCTTGAGGACACCTGGTACACTCGGTTTACCTTGAAGTATCAGCCCATAGGTATGTATCAATACTTGTTCTCTTACAGAGGAGGAAGACCTTTAATGAAAAGTTACCATCCAGCTGTGGGGTCATCTGCCTGGGGCAGATATTTAATGCTCTGCTACACGGTGCTCACCAGATGCATGTGGGATGAGTTAGATGACTTATTTATTTATTTTTTTTAACTTTCTAATACTATTCAAGATCAGCTGAATTACAGGCTTTCACTAAATTTCACCAACAAAACAGGTAATTCAGAGTAGCTTTCATGAATAAGTGTCAAAGTTAGAATAAAAATATTTTATAACAATTTAGTTTGCTTGTGACTATTTTGCATTTGAAAATTTCCGTGTCTGAAGAGCCAGTTATTTAGAGTGGGCCAAGCTGTGCTCATCCTTAGGGCAGACTAGCAGGCCCAAATAATTATCTTATGCATATTACTGGATCTCTGTCTTCCTCTGAATATAGCTATAAGAATAAATACTAACTTATTTGGTATGTGTTGAACATTGAAGTTATGTCAGGATGGGTGTTCAGATTTTTTTGTTTGGTTATGTTTTGTAAGCATCAGTATTCCATTTAATGTGGAAGCAGCATTAAGCAGCATTATTATCATCATATTTTTCTTTCAGGGACATGTTTATTTTGATTTCATTTAAGAGAATCCTTCTGAAATAATTTTCTTTCAAATTCCATTTCTGAAAACAACTTAAAATGTTATAATAATAAGCAAAAATGATTTCTAAGATCACACTTTTAAATTTTATTTTGAATTTTTTTCTTATATTCTCTGAAAGAAAAAGTTTTGCTTTTGATAATTCCAGGTCATATTAGCATCATTTTATGTTCGACTTATAACACCTTTTTACTTTGTAAATTTGTATAGTGTCTCTAGGATTTATAAGGTGACAGTATCTCTTAGCTAGTTCTTAGTAAGGGAAGAAGTCAGTTGATGGGGAAGGCTGGGCATAGGTGGTATGGGCTTGAGGCTTCTAGAGTTGCTAGGACTGGTCATGCTAGTTGGGGACCAGACAAATCTTGAGCTTCCCCAAGATTGAAAGGGAGAGATCATCTGCTTTGGAGCTCAGCACCATGAATACCTTTTTTTTTTTTTTTTTTTTTAAATTGTTAGGATATTCTTTGACCTTTGATTCAGATTTGTAGTGACCTTATCCTACCTACTGTTTTCGTTTGCTCCTGAGTTAACTAGAATATTTAAGGATAGGAGATAATCACTTATCCCAGTTCATCCTAACCTACCTTCATAGACTTGATCACATTGTCTTAAAATATGTATATGTACCTTTTAACTAAGTGTGATTATTTCTTAAATAATGGCCTGCTGCCATACTTCCTCCCAGCTCACATCCCACCCTCCTCCCAGTGCAGGACGCTCTTACAACCTAGGCATCCCCCTTGTGGGTTGGTTAGCTGGTGTTGAGTTCACAGAATATTAGCAGTAATGCTGTTTGGATCTTTTTCTGCCCAGTGTTTATGTGAAGGTATAGGTCAGGGGTCCTCAAACTGTTTAAACAGTGGGCTAGTTCACTGTCCCTCAGACCATTGGAGGGCTGGACTGCGGGCCCCAGGATGAGTCGGCTGCTAAGTAGGATAGACAGTGGCAGCAAAAACACCCGGTGGGCCGGATAAATGTCCTAGGCCGGCTGCATGTGGCCCACGGGCCGTAGTTTGAGGATGCCTGGGTAGATATGTTCCTTGGCTGTGCTGGACGTTAATTTGTATTATCCTATTTTGTACTCGCTCAAGCGAGTCTCCTGCCTCCGCCTCCCAAGTAGCTGGGACCACAGGCGCCCGCCACAACGCCCTGCTATTTTTTGGTTGCAGCCATCATTGTTGTTTGGCGGGCCCGGGCTGGGGATTCGAACCCGCCACCCTAGGTGTATGTGGCTGGCGCCCTAGCCACTTGAGCCACAGGCGCCGAGCCAATAATTTTTCTTTTGTATTGAAAAATTTGCCATGACACATTGATGAAAGTTTATATCTTTGGGTAGGGAGAGCAAGATATTATGGATTGGGAGTCTTCTTTGTAAAGAACATTTGTAACTGTAATACTAAAGTGGGGAGCATAAATTATTGATAAACCTCCAAATTAAAATGATTCAATGGCCATGGCTGAACTTAAATCAGGACCTCGAGTATTCTGCATGAGCATCAAGATGAGTTCTCTGAGAAGAAGATATCCACCAGGTGAGGGAGTAAAAGGGAATCAGAGCCAGGGCATCTGGCAGAGCAGCCCCAGCAGCTCCTTGGCCCTAAGCTTTGAGAAATGTGGGCTTGTCAAACAGAAAAGCATGGTCTTTGTACTGCATGGAAGATGGGCTTACCACCACATACTGATTGGGAAACGAGGGTACTGAATAATCCCCACTGAACCAAAAAGTGAATAAGCTTATTTGAAATGATTCTAGAAAGTCTTCAGTATCCTGTACTTAAGTTTTTCCTTCCCTTCTGCTGTAGACAATATTCGTGGCTACTTCGGGGAAACCATCGCTCTTTACTTTGGCTTTTTGGAATACTTCACCTTTGCCTTAATCCCCATGGCCATCATTGGGTTACCTTACTACTTGTTTGCGTGGGAAGACTATGACAAGTATGTGATCTTTGCCTCGTTCAACTTGATCTGGTCCACGGTGATCTTGGAAGTGTGGAAGCGTGGCTGTGCCAACATGAGCTACCGGTGGGGGACCCTGGTCATGAAGAGGCAGTTTGAGGAGCCGAGGCCGGGATTTCATGGCGTCCTGGGCATCAATTCCGTCACTGGCAGGGAGGAACCTCTCTACCCCAGCTACAAGAGACAGTTGCGCATTTACCTGGTTTCTCTGCCGTTTGTGTGCCTCTGTCTCTATTTCTCTCTTTATGTCATGATGATTTACTTTGATTTGGAGATCTGGGCCTTGCATCTACATGAGAACAGCGGGTCTGAGTGGACCAGCATCTTGTTGTATGTGCCCAGCATCATCTATGCCATCGTGATTGAGATCATGAACCGTCTCTATCGATATGCTGCTGAGTTTTTAACCTCCTGGGGTAAGACTTGCTGCTTTGTATTCCTGTCTTATTTGCCTGTAAGAGATATTGCTTAGATCATAGGATCCATATAGCTGCTACCTGTGAAGATAGATAAGAAAGATGTTGCTCTGAGCTCTTTTTGGAGACATAGGAAAAGTTCATCAGCCTTGTGAACCCTGATCTTCGTATCATGGTTATCACAGCTCTCATTTATTCAATGGTAATTACTATGTTCTGGATGTCCTTCCCACAATATCTTATTTTCACCTCCTCAGAAAACCAAGAAATGGAAAGTATTTCACCATTTTATGGGTAAAGGTACTGACACTTCAGAAGGTTCAGATAGCAAAAGTAGATCTAGGCTAATTCAGAATCTATCTGTCTAAAACCTGTACTCCTAATACTGTAACTGTGTTTTATGCTGAGGGTGAAATAGATTAAAATTATGTTCATGACACTTGGCCCAATGAGCTATGACTGGTAACATAAAACTGCTGGTCTAGTGGGTATGGGGCACTGAAGACTGCCACTGAGCCCAGCGAAGGCAGGTGCCAATGGATGCATCCATGGTTATAAGTTAAAAGGGTCTTGATAGGCTGTTCACTATTTATTTATTCATTCAAACAAATATGCTATATTATTCCCTAGGAAGGAGCTTAGGTCTTAACTTCATGGACTGTAAAGATGTTTTCAATTATTTTTGTTAGTTATAGAACAACAACATCTGTTGTTTATTGAGTGCTTTCCTTGTGTTGATCCTAAGGTTAAGGTTTTATATTATTTATGATCCTGAGAGTGACTCTGGGAGGAGGGTGGTCAGCCCTGTTTTGGAAGTGAGAAGGCTGGGTTTCAGGAGGCTAGGTAACTTACCCAAGGTCAGGCAGTGGCCAAATGGCTGAGTTGATATCTGTCCTTCTAACGCTGCCTGTCTGTATAAGATGACTGTCCTCCCCAGAATCTTCCTTTTTGTCACTTTTGTCACTTGGGATCTCTGTAGTGTCACTTTTTCCAGATGGGGATGGAAATTTTAGTTTCCCTTCAAGTTAATCCTTGTAAGCCACATACACAGAAACCTTTACTTATTGGCCTCTTCTTATAGGTTATTAACAGTTTTTACTGTTAATATTTTTTTGGGTGGCTATCTGTGGGATCATTTGCCAGCACTTCCCAAATTTCTTTGTAGCAGTAATATTTCAAAAATAATTTCAGACTATAATGCTATTGCAGTACCGTGAAAAATGTGTCCTGGCTTGATGTTCTTGGTGGGAAGGAACAGCGTGACTGACAGCCTAGCACATTTAGCTCCAGGGTCAGACGCGTCTGTCCTCAGCACAGGTCCCACTTTATCTCATGACAGTGCTCCCATATTGTTTTCTTACTGAGAGAAATTACTTCATTTTGTTTTCATATTTTAGAGAATCATAGATTGGAATCTGCCTATCAGAATCACCTAATTCTGAAAGTTTTAGTGGTAAGTACAATGTTTATGTACAAGTCCATTTTGATTATGAAATCGATGCATACATATTACATGCAATATTTAAAAGCATATATATATATATATATAAAGAGTTGCTTCTAATTTAAGATATCAGTTAATATATTTTGTGTTAATAGGCAAGGGCTGATTAATAAATATATTTATTGATACAGCTGTGGTCAGTAGTCTTATTACAGATGTGGTGTAGGACTTCAAAATATACAAATTAGTCTTATAGCCTATTCCCAGTTAAAAAACTGATCACTTCATAGGCAGGCTTCTGTTCTTTCGATGATTTCTTTGAATGTTTTCCTGTATAACAATCCTTCTGCAGTTTGTTTAGTGGTAGAACATTAACATTTTTAAAAAAATTTTATTAAAGAAATTTCCAGAGTCAGAAAGTTCCCAGCATGTTTTGATGAACAGGAGGAAACAGAGAGAGAGAAAGCATTGTGTAGCTGTTTGTGTAAAAGTTCACACATTATGGTCATTTCCACCATTTTTGTAAATAATAAAGAAGTACCTACCGGTTTGAAAGCACTTCATTTATCAGGAGGTTACCTCAGTCACCCACAGCAAAACTGAGAATCAAGACAGAACTGTCAACTGGAATTGATTTAACGCAGTTCATGTACTTAGCTCCCCAGAGAGGGAACAGGCCTTCACTTAGAGTCTTTGTTCCATCTGTAGCAACCATTCTAAAATGTTTACCTGTCTGGTTTTTAGTTCATAAAAGATCAGAAACCACCATCATGAGGGTGTTTAGAATTCTGAAAGTAGGTAAACTTAGAGAAGGACAGGTAAGGAAAGAGAAAACCTCTCATAAATAGATGAGAATCCAACAGTCTGGCTATTAGCCAGAGTGGCCATACATATCTAAAAAGGCTCTGAAGGCCTCATTCACACTGTGAAATGACTGATACTTAAAATGTTGTTGAATCAGTAAGGAAGTTATGTTTTATGTTCTGTGTAAGAAAGCAGGGGAACATGTAATGGATTTAGAAGGTTTTCAAAAAGATTATTATGTGGGGCTTTTGCCCTCAGAGATAAAAACACTCTATTTGTCTTAAAGAATTCAGTTATTTGTGAGGCTGTATTATTCCTTGACAATGCAGATATGGTGTCAAGTAACTACCTTGTAAAAGTACCCTTAAATTCGAGTCTGTTCTTCTCTGTCGTGCTACTTTGATCTGTCCCATCCTTTTTAATTTTATGGGACAGCATTTCTCAGTTTTTTTGCTCTTCACCTTCTACCCTAACTTGGCACCCCCCGTCCTGTGGCCACCGTTGACTTTCCTGGTCACTCTCTAGAGTGACTCCCCATCTCCTTATTGGCTAAGTGTTCCCTTTTGTACAATAGCAGCCTCCTTCTCAGAAAGTGATACTTATCATGGAGGAAGTAGCCAGCAGGGGGCTGGGAGGCAGAAAGGAAACCCATTAGTGTGGGCTGGGGAGTTAGCTGTGGGTTCTTAAGCAGGGAGACTACTTGAAGAAATGACACATTTTGTGGCAGGACAACCCCCCGACTGGCACGGTTGTGTACCTGGTAGGACAGAGGAGTTCATGCCCATGGTGACAAAGATGCTTCCCAGGCTGGCCTAGTTGTTATGGCTATCCGTCTACCTTGCTGTCTCTCTGCGACACAGGAGAGTCTCAGGTCCATGGGTATAAAGAAGCTTCTTGTATTGGGATCCTTCTGGCAGGGTCCCCTTTGCCAGTGCCACCCTGCTGCCCCACTTGCTCCTGGTGGGGGAGGAAATGTCCACGGGTGCAAAGAAGATTCCAGGGCTGGGCTGCATGTTCTGATGAGGTCTTCCTCACCAGTGTTCCCAGGGGCAGAGGAGTCTCAGGTCTGGCAAGGGAGGAGCACACTTCCCTGGGAATCTCACTGTTAGTGGGGAGTCCCACTTGAATCCCTCTTGCCAGTTCTGTTGGGCTCCCCTGATTATGACAGGACTCTTATTTGAATGGAGAAGGACTGAGCCTACCTGGATTGCTAGGTTAGGGCTGGGAACTGCTGGGCCTTGGTCCCCTTCTTCTGATGGTTGGAGGGAACTTAAGATGTGCTGGTACCATGAGGTTCCCTCGGCCCTGGGAACCCAAACCAGTTTATCTTCCTTTTAGCACCTTTCAGCATTCTCCCTTGGTTGACTCTTGCATTTGTAGTAATAATAAAGTACTGTAAAGCAGCATTTAACATTGTTATCTTTTTTTTCTTTTTGGGCAGTTCAACTTTCTAAATTGCTTTGCCTCCCTCTTCTACATTGCCTTTGTCCTGAAGGATATGAAGCTTTTGCGCCAGGTAAGTGTGAATAACAGGAAAGCATTCTGTTTTTAGGCCTGAGAGGTGGTTTCCTATATTCAGCTACTATAATTGTCCTCAAATTATTATTTTTACAAGTCTTTTAAATTTTGTATATTTCTGAGCCCAACTCTTAATAGAAAACCATTAGCAATTGCAGTGTATTTAAAAAGAAATTAGTTGAACCCAACTAACTTGTAAAATTAATCATACAGGGCAGTAAACTTAATTAAATAGTTCACCTCAAAACTTGTCAAAGTAATTCTAACACCAAAAAATGTAGTATTCATTAATTGAACTTTTTGTGTGTCTCAGGGTTGGGGGAGTGATTGGTTTAAAATTTAATTTTTAAATTAATAAGTTGTTAAACTTTAGAGACCAGAAGATCCTATGCTATGCTGTACTTTTTTTCTGAAATATATAAGGACATCTGGCATTTGCTTTGGTGCATTGCCATTTCTGGATCACATAATACCAGGTAATGATAAATTGAGCATAAATTACTGGTTTCTAAATTCTCATTCTTATACTTGAGCCAGTTATCAATAAAGAGCTATTCCATCCTGGTTGAAATGTTCCAAGATTGTTCGTGAACAGTGTCTCAAAGCCTGGATTTCTTAATGGTTATGTGAGAGCTTGGGATAATTTCTTTAGGAAATTAAAACATTTATATGATCAGAGAAGATTAAAATATTTTGAGGTTATGGTTCTAACAGCTTACATAAAAGTAAAATTAAATATTCTGCTCTTAAAAACTCTACTAGAGGCCGGATGTGGTGGCTCATGTCTCTAATCCTAGCACTCTGGGAGGCCAAGGCAGGTGGATTACCTGAGCTTGAGTGAGACCCCCATCTCTAAAAATAGCTGAGCCTTGTAGCAGGGGCCTGTAGTCCCAGCTACTTGGGAGGCTGAGGCAAGAGAATCACTTGAGCCCAAGAGTTTGAGGTTGCTGTGAGTTGTGACACTACCGTGTTCTGCTGAGGGCCACAAAAGTGAGACTCCATCTCAAAAAACAAACAAACAAAAACTCTACTAGATATATTGCTACTTCTTAAAAACTTTTTGAAAATTGAGAAAGTTCGGAATAACACATCTGGAACTGATAAAATGCATGTATGTACCCTCTCTGGTCTCATGAATTAGTTTATCAGGGCATGACTTCTCCTTTCTGACTCTGGGACCCAGTTTTCCTTTATTTAGCAGAAGACAGAATAATGGAGGAGGGCTCTTTGAAAGTGAATTGTAATACCAGCAAAGGTGATGTGTCATGGAAACACTCATATCCATCTGGGGAAAGTGGAATTGATGCGACATTTTTGGAAACCAGCTCACTTGACAGTTTTGCCAAGAACCTTCTCTATTGAGTCTTCAGAGATGGGGTGAAAGTTCATGTTACATAGATACTCAAGCAGCAGCATTTATAATAATGAAATGTGGGAGTAATACTTAATTCAGCAGTAGTGTGTATGGGCCAAGTAAAAATGAATTTTTAATGACATGGGAAAGTGCTCACAATATATTAAGTGAAAAAAGCAATATATAAAGTTCTTTACAGATAGGATAATTATAGTTTTATTTTTACAAATGATTGGAAAAAAATAATCCCAAGATGTAACAGTGGTTTTGTCATGGTTATAGAATTATGGATGGTCTTTTTTTCCTATTTTTATGGGTACACATAATATTTGTTACATGAACAGAATGTGTAATGATCAAGTCCGGGTATTTTGGGGTGTCCATCGCTGCAAGTATTTACCATTTGTATCCACTAAGAATATTTTAAGTCCTCTCTTCTAGCTATTTTGAAATATACAATACATTATTGTTAACTATAGTCACCCTACTCTGCCATCAAACATTAGAATTTATTCCTTTTACCTACTGACCAACCTCTCTATAGCTTCTTCCCTTAACACCCTTCTGAGTCTCTGGCAACAATAATATTCTATTTTCTACCTTTATGAGATCAACTGTTTTAGTTTTCACATAATGAGAGAGAATGTGAGATGTTTATCTTTCTGTGCCTGGCTTATTTCACTTAACATAACTTAACACCACTCAACATGGACCTCCAGTTACTTCCATGTTGTTGAAACTACAAGATTTCGTTCTTATGGAGAAATAGCATTCCATTGTGTATATATACCATGTTTTCTTTATCTGTTCATCCATTGATGGACACTTAGCTTGATTCCGTATCTTTGCTATTATGAGCAGTGCTGCGGTAAACATGGGGTATAGTCCCTTTGATACACTGATTTCTTTTCCTTTGGATAAATACCAAGTAGTGAGATTGCTGAATCATAAAATAGTTTGAATTTTAGTTTTTTTTTGAGAAATCACTGTACGGTTTTCCATAATGATTGTTCTAATTCATGTTCCTCTCAACAGTATATAGGAGTCTCTGAATCCTACCAGCATCTGTTATTTTTTGTCTTTTTAGTAACAGCCATTCTAGCTGGGGTGAGATGAATCTCGTTGTGGTTTTGGTTCACTGATGATTAGTGATGTTGAGCATTTTTTCATATACCTCTTGGGTGTTGTGTGGGCTTTTTGGGAAATGTCTGTTCATGTTCTTTGCTCACATTTTAGAGACATTATGGGGCTTTTTTGCTATTGAGTTGCTTGAGTTCCTTATATTTTCTGGAATTTAGTCCTTTGTTGGATGAATAATTTGTAAATATTTGCTCTCATTCAACAGGCTCAGCACCTGTATCATCAGTGGCTAGGGCGCCAACTACATACACCAGAGTTGGCAGGTTTGAACCAAGCCCGGGCCTGCCAAACAGCAATGACAACTACAACCAAAAAATGGCTGGGCATTGTGGCGGGTGCCTGTAGTGCCAGCTATTTGGGAGGCTGAGGCAAGAGAATCATGTAAGCCTAAGAGTTCGAGGTTTCTTTGAGCAGTGACACCATGGCACTGTACCAAGGGTGACATAATGAGGCTCTGTCTCAACAAAAGAAAAAATTTTTTTTGTTAACCAAACTACTGTTTTTCAAAGTTGGCAACATCATTCAGATTCATATATTGCAGTCAGGGTGAGATGACAAAGAATGTAGTTTCAAGTTAATTGATTTTCCTACTGATTCTCAACTGGTTTATTTCTTATTTTAATCTAATTTGTATTATAACTTTATTTGTATTTTTATCTAAGTCCTTCTTATGAAAAAGCATAAATTAAAAGTACTATCCTAACCCCTGGCTTTTCTAATACTAGTTTTTAGAATATAGTAGTATATTATTTATTGAGGATTCCATTTTATTTGCATAATTTTATACATGCTATGGTTTTATTAAGCTACATTGCCAAATATGATTTATGTGTTCCTCTTTAGAGCCTGGCCACTCTCCTGATTACCTCCCAGATCCTTAACCAAATTGTGGAATCTCTTCTTCCTTATTGGCTCCAAAGGAAGCATGGTGTGCAGGTAAAGAGGAAGCTTCAAGCTTTAAAGGCAGACGTTGATGCTACGTTATATGAACAAGTCATCCTGGAAAAAGAGATGGGAACTTATATGGTAAGTTGGAATGCTGGTGAATTAAACATTTACTGAAAGCAACTAACAGTCAGGTACTGATTTCAGCAAATATTATGCACACTCATTATCTCAGATGTGACTATTTTATAAGTGCTTTCCAGCCAGCTTTCTCACCATGCACCACTTTAAAGTTTCAAAGATGGAACTATCCATTCAAAGGCTCCTGTCTTGACTCTGGAGTTATGCCTAATAACACCAAAGGCTCAATTTGAAGAATTCTTTGATGGCTCTGTGGAAAAGGGGTTAGGAACGGTTGCTCTGGAGATGACGGTGCAAGGGAGCAGTGGTCCCTGGAGACACAGCACCTCTGCTTGCTGCTGGTGCTTCCAGCTGTAGAAAATGATTGCTTAAGCAAAAGAGTGAGGCCCATTGCTGAAAAATGGAATGCCAATCTAGAGATTAATTTTTATATAATAGTGCTATTGTGTAAATATAAAACTGTTCTTTTAAGGCAGAGAATTTCTGGTTATTTTAGGAACGACAAGCAGCTCATTAGAGGTTTGGTATTTGTAATATTTGAAAGATAGCTCAGAAAAGCTCACTGTGTGTTCGTTCAACAGACGTTTCATGCACTTCGACTGCATTCACTGTCTTTGGGAGGTGTGTGTGGCTCACATTTGCTTCAGGCCATTGTTTCCTACCTCCCGTGGCTACCCTCTTGGTGCAGTATTCTTGGGGAGACAGATACTTTAGTGGTTCATTCAGTGAGAACCCACTGTTGTTAAACTTTCCTAGTTTCATTTTTCATCTTGAATGAATTTGTCTCCTCATTATTGAGTTTCTTGGCTGAATTTCATAGTTTTTCTCATATGTTGAATAATTTTATATATAATAGTTTCTATGTTCATCTTGAGTAGGAGTTTGCCCTCGTTTCCTCTCTACTTATTTCTGTCTTATATTTTGCAGTTGCCCCCACTAAACTTCTAAGTCCATAGTCCAAAACTAGGTATTTGCAGCCCAGAGCTCCCATCTTGTGGCAGCAGGAAGCATTTTGTAGATCTAGTCACAGAACTAGGAGGTGGCATGCTCTTGAGATAAGCAGTAGCTCCTGGGCTGCAATTATAACTTTTTTCAGACCTTCTTCAGGGACAGAGGACCTTTGTCCCAGTCCCTCATTTTGCCCTGTCAAACTTTGTTGTAGTTGCACTCCAGGGGAGGGGGTGTTCTAGGCAACAGATCCAAGCCTCCTTGGATGGTCAGTGGACTTAGAGCCTGGCCCTGTTCTGGTTTACCATCTTGAGTTTTGTCCATATCTCATGTATTGCAGCTGGTTTTTGTTTGTTTGTTTGTTTGTTTTGGGGTGGGAATATGTCTTTTTTTTTTTT